GATGCAAACGGTTCTGAGTTTGCTCTAGACTTTAGGATCTAAAACTCACTGTTGGACTCCATTTTTATTTGTTTGTTGTAGTTAAGAGATGTATAACCTTTGAAAACACACACACACACTCATCAGCATCAGAACATAACAGAGATGATGCTTTAGCAAAAAAAAAAAAGGGCTCAGATGGTGTAGAGGTAGGGCAGCCGACCTGGAACCAGAAAGTCGCAGGTTCAACTCCCCACCATGCCCACATGCCATGGTGTCCTTGAGCAAGACACCTAATCCCTAACTGCTCACTGAGCGCTTACAGAGCTGCTCGCTGCTCCACCAGGTGTATCTCAGGTGTGATGGGTTAAATGCAGAAATCGTCGTCGTATAGAAACATACGATGACATCACAGCACGTTCTTTCTTCACTTGAACTCCCTCCAAAATCAAAGCTTTGGTTAGCGCTGCAGAGTTCATCATTCAAAATGTGTGCATGTGTGTTTTATTTTTAGCTATCGGTCTGCAGGTGTCCTTGGACCTGCTGGAGAGAAGGTTCTGGGACATCGCCAAGCAGGTGACTGCAGGACACTTTCACCCACACGTTCTCTGACGGTGTTTTTTTTTTCAGCTTCTCCCTAAGCCTAAAAAAAAGCTAGTTAATTTTATAAATATGTGTAAATATTTCTTGATGTACCATAGTTTTAATGTTTCAGACAGTTAATAAGGAGGAACTGCAGGACTAAAAGGATCAGAAGCTTGTTCCTAATCAGGAGTGATGGTCATGAGATATTTCTAACATGGACAACAACATGATGTGACAGAAAACGTTAGCTACATGTCAGTATTTACCTCTGAAAACAAAACACCTGTGAAGAGTTTAAATGTTGGACCGTCTCGTCCTTACTGTCCTTACTGTCCTTACTGTCCTTACTGTCCTGTTACAGAACATTTTGTCTTTCAGCTTTTCTGTCATTCATGTGTTCATTTCATTCACGTTAATAACAAACACTGACAGTGTTTAAATTAATCTGTTAAAATGTCAAAACTCTGCCAACGTATCGTTCAACTTTAAAACTCTCAGTTGGACGATGGATGTGAAGTAAAATATGTTTGTTTGTCATAAATCTGTTGTTAGGTGGACTGTTTTTATCTTTTATCTATTTTATATTTGTATCTTTTTATCTTTCATGTTTGTTTTGTTGCTTGTAGCCCAGCGACACAGATGTGAGTACATACAAGTTATGTCATTACAGGAAAAGTAGTCTTTGAATTTAAACTTTAATTTAAACTTTAAACTCTAATTTTCCCCTGGGATTAATAAAGTATCCATCCATCTACCTACCTACCTACCTACCTACCTACCTACCTACCTACCTACCAACCTATACCTACCAACATATACCTACCTACCTATACCTACCTACCTACAGTGCCTACCTACCTATACCTACCTACCTATACATACCAACCTATACCTACCTACCTATACCTACCTACCTATAC